GTGGATCTTCAAAATTATTAGTGCGCTTTGTTGTTTTGGCCATGAAGGTTGAACATAATTTTGTTTTCTATTTTTTATTCCTCAAATCCTGAACACCGGCTTAATAGTATTTTTTTTTCAAATGTTTAAACTTAGATTGAAAATATTGACATACTTTTTTTTTTTATCTTAGTTGCATTAGACCCTTAGGTGATGTTTAGAATGACTAAGGCACTGTTTGTTTTTTTTTAATGCAAAATGTCTGCAGTCTGCGGACCATATTTGCAAACCTCTGCAGTAGAAGAGTTTGACCAAACGTCTGCAGTCTAAAAGAAGAAGATTGTTTGTTATTTAACATCTGCAGGCTGCTAGAATAAACTAAAATTTAATTAAACCGATATTTTTAAACTTAAAAGAGTTTTTTTTTTTTTTTTTTTTTTAATTTTATAATTTTATAACTTTATTATAGATAATTAACAAATGTAGATCGAGTTTTATGTATTATTGTATAAAAAGCGAAAATAAAATGGTACGAATTAACGTATATATTTGGTAAAAACCAACAAACTTTGATCGCAAAGATATACCTAAACATTGTAATTAAGGATAAAAGAATTTAACACGTAAAATTGATGGAAAGAAACTTTGATTTTAAATGAAATTTTCAAAATTTTCATTTTACCTTTTCAATTAAATCAATTAAAAACTGGTCATAAATATTTATTCCAAAAAATGAATGATATTGCATTAAATAATGTTTATAAAATTTGGCACAAAAAAATATAAGACAATATTACGATTTTTTTCATATCGATATAAAAAGCTCTAAATACCATTATTGTAATTAAATTTTTATTTATAAATTTGTCACAAGAATCATGATTGTGTCGTCGAACATTTTTTTCTTGAAGTATTGTAACTTTTTTTTTCTCAAATTGTTTATCATAGATAAAATTAGAATAAATCTAAGTTTTTTTTAAAAAAAAAAAAAACGTAAGATATATGTGTTTTTTGGGATAGAAGATGTCTGAAGAGATTTGAAGACTCTGGTCCACATCTGCGCCAAGAAGAGGATGTGCAGACCTTTTTAGGTTTGTATTCTTCAGAAAAACAAACAGTTTGCAAAGCCTAATGTTTGTGCGACGCAAACAGAAGTGGCCAAGAAGATCTGCGGACAAAAAAAAAAAAAAAACACCTAAGGTGGTGTTTGTTTTTTATTTGCAGATCTTCTTGGCATTTTCTGTCCGTGCCGCGTAAACATTAGGCATTGCAGACTGTTTGTTTTTTTGAAGACCACAGAGCTAAAAATGTTTGTGCGTTCTATTCTCGGTGAGATGTGGATTAGAGTCTTCAAACCTCTTCCGACTTCTTCTAGCCTAAAAACACATATATATTAGATTTTTTCCAACTTTATCTATGATAAACAATTTGAAAAAAAAAAGTTATATTACCTCCGTCCCAAATTGATAGTCCACTTTTGACTTTTGAAGTCTTTTTTCTTCAACTTTGACCTTAAATATTTTTTTTTGGTATATAATAATTAATGCAAAATATATGAATGGATTGTATTTTAAATGTTTTTTTCATTGTTATAAGTTTTATTAGGTAATATATAACACAAATAAAAATATTTATAGTGAAATTGAAGAAAAAAAAACTTCAAAAATCAAAAGTGGCCTATTAATTTGGGACGGATGGAGTAATACTTAAAAAAAAATGGTTCGACGACACAATCAAGATTTTCTTGACAATTTTATAAATAAAAATTTAATTACAATAATGATCGTTAAAGCTGTTTATATAGAAATGAAAATATCGCAATATTATCTTGTATTTTTTGTGTCAAATTTTATAAAACATTAATTACAATGTTTAAGTATATCTTTGCGACCAAAGTTTGTTGGTTTTTATCAAATATATACGTTAATTCGTAGCATTTTATTTTCACTTTTTATACTATAATACATAAAAGTAGATCTACATTTGTTAATTATCTATAATAAAGTTATAAAATTATTGAGAAACTCATTTAAGTTTTAAAAAAAATCGGTTTAATTAGACTTTAGTTTATTCTAACAACGTGTATATGCTAAAAAAACAAATAGTTTTCTTCTTTCAAACTGCAGACGTTTGGTTCACCTCTTCTACTACAGAGGTCTGCAGATGTGGTCTGCAGACTGCATATATTTTGCCTCAGAAAAACAAACAACACCTAAGAGAGTAAGGTGATGTTGGTGGTCTTAGCTCTGATGGATCTAATTTCCTAACTTTCACATGTCGGCTAATGGTTGAAATGATGTTAGTGGGGTAGATGCCTAAAAGAGGAAGGTGGAAGACCAAGTTCGACGAGTTTTTCGGCTCCAACAGAAGCTCTGCCATGGCAGAGAGGAAGGATGTTGTGGAATATCGACTTCAATGGAAGGAATAAAGGGATTAGGGTTGGATGCATTTGACTTGAAGAGATGGAGAGATCAAGGTAGGATCCAAGTTTTTTATTGTAACAAGAATATATTTAAAATGATTTAAAATATAAAAACAAAGTCTAATAAGGGTAAATCAGTCTTATTAGAACAGATAGGGACCAAACGTGCAATAAAAATATAAAGTAGGGACAGTCCGAGTTTTTAAAAAAAAATTACGGATCAAACATGCAAATTACCCCAAACCAGAAGGACCATTCGTGTAATTAGATGTATAAATCTGATATATCTTGTATACAATCAGTGGGCACATGAGTTGTTTACACTTATTGGATGATTTAAATAGAGTTTTGGTTTGGATTTCTTTATTTTGGCTCCTATATTTTTTTTTATTTGTTGATGATTTAAATAGAGACTCAATCCCATTGGGCCCAATGAGGCCCAAACTACAATCCTAGAACCCAAAATGCAAACCCAATAAATTACTTCAAACTTTAACGAAAAACCCCACTTCACGAAATAAGCCAAAACTCAGCCCAAAGATGTGAGACCCAAAAACACAACAAGCCGAAATCCCATGCCGAACGTGGGGTGTACGTGCAACTTATGTTGGGCGTACTCGATGAACCCAGATTGCGATTTCAAATCAGTACGATCGGCGTACGTCCAGTTACGCGGGGCATAACCTGGCTTAATCCAAAACTCAACTTCTAACTTAACCACTTAAGCATTTTGCACCCAAACTTCAGAGAACCTCAAAATAAAGCTCTTAATGCATAAATTCGACACCTTTATGCATTTTCATGACTAAATGGGACCCAACAATCATCTTAATCCATTAAGACCCTTTCTAATCCAACTAGAACATGCATGGACCATTCTTAAACATCAAGCAAGCATTTTTATGAACTAACAACATCAAAAGAGGCAAGATCTATCACCACAAGCTTCTGTAGTAGCTCAAACTCACAAGGGGAACTTAATACACCATAAAAGCCCTTAATCTTACCCTAAACTCAAACTAGCATAAGAAGAAGCCAAGATAAGAACTTGATACCTGAAATGAGCTGGAAATGAAGCCAAAAGTTTGGATCTAAGAGTCTTCCTTTGAACCACAAGCTATCACCAAGCACCATTTTCTTGAAAATGAGCAAAACACAGAAAAACGCACACATAGATCTCTCAAACACTCAAAATGATATCAGAGTTTCCGAAATGAGGCTAAAAGACCATGGAGGCTAAGAAATGAAAGAGCCTTGAGCTCATAAAGATGTTTAAATAGTGCCCAAACCCTAAAAATTAGGGTTTGGCACGCTGCTCATTACGTTGGGCGTACCCACGGCTTACGTTGTGCGTACTCACCCAGGCACGTGCCCTCCTCCGTGCACGCATGAGACCAACTTACCAACTTTTTCCACCAAGGGCCATTTCTGTCATTATTTTAAACTACTTATCTTAGGTCTGTTTCCAACGAACCTTATATCCACAAAAAGGTGGCGAGAAGTCCTATGCTCCTAACAACACACCAAAACCTTATAACTTCCCAAACAAAACCTAAAATCCATAAAAGACCGAGTTATCAAATGACAATTATACCCTTAGCCTCCGAAGGCACCATCGAACACTTGGGTCACTTAAACTATAACACCCACATCCGAAAAGACCAAAACCTTTCTTCCCCAAGGCCCTAAGCCTCAAGACCACTGAAAATTGGGCCACAACCCTGAATAATGAAACAAATCCGAAACCGAGTGTTACAGATGACCCACTGGGAAGTTTTCGTGCCGAGTGGCTCATTGTGATATATTCGATTGAGGGAATTTACATATTAGTATTTTTAAAAAAATATTAAAAGTAATGTCTCGGATAAAAAAAAACTTTAGTTATAATAAATTTTAATTCACAAGTTAACCTTTTGCTTTCTATTATTTTTATTTAAATTTATTAAAATGATATCACATGAATAATTTTTAGATTTAAAGTCGACAAATAGAACTTCTTAATGTTAAACTTATATGTTTTTTTTGGAAATTTTCAATCTTTACAGATTGGGGCAACAACGCCCATGATTCAATACTTTTTTTTTTTTTTTTTTTTTTTTAACAAATAATGGTCTTTGAAAATAGGCTATTTTTTTTAAATACATCGTGCCCTCAACCTTTTGGCCTAAGGTCAGCTGTTGGCAATATGATAATTTTTCCCTCAATATTATCCAAAATTAAAATTAAAGAATAATTTAAACTTTAAATAAAAATGGTGAAGTTGCCGATATAATATTAAATATTGTATATAAAGAAGTTTTTGAAGATTCATGAACTATAATTTTTTATGTTTAATTTTCGTTATTATTGTTTTAACTTATTAATCTACTTATTGTTACTTTTTTTGTTTTATCAAAGAATTTATTTAGAATATAAACTCAAAATGGATTGAAATCATTGTTTTTTTTTTTTTTTTTTTTTTTTCAAAGAGTTTATTTAGAATATAAACTCACAATGGATTGAAATCATTGAATGGACATATAATATAATCCGTCTCAAATAAAAGACCCACAGTTGAAGTTATGTTGATTGGTGGATTGGGTATTTCTGTTACAGTTCAATGGGCCACAGCCCAGGGGTAAGTTTAGGGTTTGATGTTACGCCTAAATTGATCCATCTCCACCTTAGGGTTCCGGTACACCGTAGAGGGCGGAGGAGAAGCCGGCAAATCACCGGACGATTGCTTCACGTAATAACGATAATCGTGAAAACCCAATCTTCCGAGTCTACTAATTTCATTACTGTGCGATTTCTGATACTAATCCCGATCCCGATTCGAGGACAATGGTTTTGTTTAGTTATTTTCTAGGGTTTGTTTTATGTGTTTCTTTTTCTTTCTGATATAAGTTTCAATGGTTCATCGACTCTGAAGAAACTAAGTTTATTTATTTTGCATCATATTTAGGCGTAAAAAAGTTTTAAATTGATAAAAAAAATTAGTTTTTTTTTTCCCTTCACTGCCAATAATCGTAATTGGAGGGAGCTGTTGACTATTGGATAACATGCCTTTACAAATTTGTTTCATTTTCATCTTAGTTTTGCTTCGTTTGAAAGGGGACAAGAAAAGTCGAATATTAATGTAAAATTTGTGCGTGTGTTGATTTTACCATGGTTCTATGTGCGTGATTCATGGATCTGTTGTATGCTGCTATGATTATGTAGGAACAGGAGGACGAACACATTAGTTTTCTTACATAAAGAATTATGTAATACTATGTATTTCGTCAGTTTATAGCAACTTAATTATGAATACAACAGTTTATGCACATGTATACATGGATACCATAAGCATAAGCATATGTAGTCTGCATCAATAATTAACAGTGATTGGGCAATTTTAAGTGGGATTTGGTGAATTAATTAGGCATATGTATATCACAAGGCAGTTGAATTGGTTTTTGAACTCTTATTTTAATATGAGCTTTCTTATTCCATTGTGCTGCAGTCTTCAAAAGTCAACCAACCGCAGATGGATGGGGAAAAGAAGAATGGATCAGGTTTGTATGCAACTGGCAATTGCTACTTTCTGTTGCAAGAGCTTCCTGTAAATATATATGTTCAATTAGAATTATAGATACTCACTTAGCACTTATCCATCCTTTAATGTAAAAGATATACAAAGAAGAAGTTGATTTAAAATCTTTAAGTTGTGATTTGTTAATTATGTAACTCTCTAATTACTTATACACCAGTAATGCCTTCTTTTATGGAGAATGGAACAGCCAACACCCTAGATCGGTCATCAAGGTGTAGGGTTTTGACTTTTGACATCTGGCTTTCTCTTTGGAACACTCTCTACAATTTGATCATCAAAATTATCCATAAATCGATTGGAAATCTTGAAAGAATACGGTGTAAATCCTTTGATTGGAAGATTAAGGTTTTATTAGGATGAGTTTGATTAAATTTTATTCCAAGATTAGAATATAGTGTTGAAAAAAATAAACCTTTGTACTGACTTTAAATATAATTTTTTAATTATGATGTGTCAAGTTGTACACTCATTAATTTATGTTAAGTTTTATGTATTACAAATAACAAATAGTGAAAATAAATACCAACTTTCAATACATAAAAAACACTAAGACGTATTCAAAATATATATTAAACACTTATAAAGGGAATAAAAATATATCATCAATTTCAAAAAAAATAATTCATGATATAGAAAGTTATTGGTCGTTAATTTACTTTTAATCTCAAACACTATTATACCAAGAAAATTTTAGGTAATAAGTATGGACTCATTTCTTCAAGCCTTGATACAAATATCTAAAATATATTATTTCTATATATAATAAATAAGAAATAACATAAACAAATAAAGATAATATAAATTTCAATAACATTGAAGCACTAAAACAAACAGCGATTATCATATTTGCATTCAAAAACATAGTAAACACTTATAAAGTCTATAAAAAAAATCAAAAAAATTCTAGAAACAAAATTTATATGTTTCTATAACAAGGAAGGTTGTTGATCTTTAATATGCCTTTCATCTCAAACATAATTATATCAAGAAAATTTCGTGTTGAAGTAACCATGGATGCGGGAAAAGTCATTCTTCAAGTCTTCGTATTTGAATCATTAACTTATTCAACAACATAAATGTTTTTGTAACAAATACTTACTTATATACTATTAATATGCATACAACATGTACACATGACAAAAAAATAAAAGATCAAAGATTAAATGTCATTAACTTAGTAATTATAAAAATCAAGTTAAAAAAACTTTTCAACGGTTGTGATTAATTAATTAAACGTTGAAGGGTTGTGGAAGTTTTAAATAAATGTGGTGCAAAATGATGATTTATCTTGAATTAATAAAGAGGCGTGTGTTGCACATAACCTTTTTTTTTTTTTTTTTTTGATGTTTGATGGGTCAGGGAAGGACAAAGAGGAACTTTGAAAAAATAGATGTCTTCCAACCATGGGAATTGTGATGCATTGACCTGAAGATTTTTGTAGAAAAGATATCAAGAATTTCCAATAAATGAAAAGCATGTATCTTACAACTTATGACAATCAAGAGAAATACATAATCAACCACCGTAGGATCTATTGTAACCCTACATTCTAGATGCTATCAACTTCTTCATCCTTATATACGTCAACATTAGGCTCAGAGATAAAGTGCACGAAAAGTTATGTCACTTTTAGAGCAGGTTAATATTTTTAAGATATACGCATTACCGCGATCTCAAAAATATAATTTTCGTAGAAATCCAACTTAATATAAGAGGAATATAACAATTATAGCAAATACAGATCTAACGTTGGTAAGAAATTACAACGACGAAAACTACGAAAAGAATAGTCGACTTTTAAAGAATGTCGCCAAAAGGAAAAACGTACTACACCAAAAAGTAGAAATTATGAGACAAAGAACAACTAAAATAGATATCATGTGAGAGAGTTGTTATTTTAACGATTAGAAATTTTGGTCGAAAAACAAGTTAAAATTAGCCAAAATGACCAAAATGAAAGTTGTACTCGTCAAGATCTTTGCAAATCTATAAAAGTCATTGAAAACGGAATTCGTATGTGAGAGATACGAAATTTACAAACTTCTTTTTTTTACTTGCGTGCACGCCTGCATACAGTGCCCAACGTGCTTTCTGACACATGATTCGATTGGATACGGGATGACGTTACACCATAGGATAAGGACACGTGTCAGCACCAGGATGGCTGGTGCGCACTGCCCGACGCGCACATCAAAAACCCCTATAAATAGGGAGCTCTGATCAATCCTTTCCCCACATCTTTTAAACTCTCACTCTCTTTCTACCTTGTTTTGTGTGCCACTCACACTCGATTATCTTTCGAAGTTCTGGTCTCATGGATTTCTACCCGACTTCAGTGGTTTCATGCTTTTGGTGAGTTCACGACCCTATTTTCAAACTGTTTTTAGAGGGGGGGGGGATACATGTTAAAATGCTAGGATATTATAATTGCTATTAATTTTAGTTATTGTATAGCTAGTTATTGTTGGATTAGATGTCTAAGCCCATAACTAAAATTGGTATACTTGAATTAATAGTGACAAAGTCCTTTTTGGGTTCCCTCAAAACCTTGTAATTGAAAGGAAGACTTGTTGAGAAAGTGTCGTTAGTATGCCTAATTCACGAAACTAATATATAAGAGGGGTATAAGGAATCTACCTATAAAATGGCAGTTGAATGAGTGTTTACTCTCACTCACCGCTTCATTGATTAGTGGAGGGTCGTTAACAAAATGGGTTTGATAGGACACTTAATCTCATTAAAAGTATAATGGATATTAAATTACTAGAACCTTTTTTTTGTTAAATCCCAAACCTAGTTACTTTTGTAAAAATGTGAACTTGTATGCTACCCCATGAAATTGCACATTAGACTTTATAAGTCATTAGTGGAGCGTGTGTGATTAACCAACACATAAATAAGGGCTAATAAAGAGTTGTAATGCGTATCTCATAAATTATCGTTATTGATGGAGCGTGTGTGGTTTACCAGCACATCAATTGAGATGATAAATGACAATGAGGTTACCAAGCATATTTGCATGGTTATTCACATCTTGTTTTGTGATCATCGGTATCCCATTCACAAATAGAAGAGTATAATCCAAGATTAAACATATCATTGAATAGTTTCAATGAATCTCGAAGTGTTAGGAATTTCACTTTCGTTTCATTACTTTTGGAATTGGTAAATCGTCATTTACCTACCTTTATCATAATTTACAATTAGATTACGACATCCCTTCTAAGTTGTGAATTATATAGTTAGGTACTAACCTTAGTATTTTACTTTGGGTTATTATATTGAGGTATTAAGTAATCTAACTAATACTATCTTCTTTTATAGATGTCTGCTCCTGCTAATGCTTCTGCTTCATCGTCCTCCCCACCACCACAACTTCTCCATACTCTCCATTTGCTCCAAGGTCATTCTGGATTGTTCCAACTATAATGACTAGATGCGTAACATCAAAATGGCTCTTCACTTCGAGGATAAGGAATATGTCGTTGAAAAGGAACTCGTCGAGATTGGTGAAAAGAAGGCCACTCCGGAAGAAATAACATTTTTCTAGAAACATTATGACGATGCAACCAAAGTGGTTTGCATCATGGTCACGACTATAGTCCTCAAATTGCAGAGGTTCTATGAGGACTACTAACCATATGAGATAAACAAGGACCTTGGGGAAAAGTCCCACAAGTGAGCTCGTCAAGAAAAGTTTGAAGTGGTTAAATCCCTCATGGCGGGGGATTCTAAATATACCATCTAAAATCATATTTTAAAAAGTCAAAATCACCATCGGTCCAATAAATTAAATTAAATTTCAGAAAGTTGTAAACCACTTTGGTTATGGGTGTAGTTATGGGTGTGTGTTCATGTGTTTTTACTGTTCCGGCAGTTACGAGATTGTTTGTGTGTTTGTTTAGCTGAGGTTCATGGAAAAGCCACTGCCACCACCTTGAGGTGGTGGTTGCCGCCTAGTGCCACCGCCGGCCGCCACGGTGTGGCTGTGTGTGTGTTAGTTAGAGTGTGTGAGTTATTTTGGATTAAAAACTTGTAATTGTAATTAGAAAATGATGTAATGAAAAGAATCGAAACCACCACCGTAAGGTGGTGGCCGCTGCTGTGTGCCGCCATGGACCACTACTACCCGAGGTGGTAGTGGGTGGTGCCCCACAAGCAAACCCTAAACGACCTAGAAAAACCCTAATGGGCTTAGAGATTTACTTTTGGGCCTATTGGGCCATGGTTGAGTGAAAACCCTAGTTAGGGTTTGGAAAACCCTAATTATGTGCAATTGGGCCTTGGACTTATTTGAACCCATTTTGGGCCATTAGATTGGAGTTATGCATGAAGCCGAGATTACTCCATAGCACTTATATAGTAGAGTAAAGGACTTAATGGATTAAGTCCTTAATGGGTTAAGTAAGAAACACTTAACCCTAACCGCCATTTTATGTGAAACCCTAATTTCACTTGGGCCTTTCGATTGAGATTTAGTAATCGGTTTATTAGTGGGCCATTCAAGAATAATCAAATGGACTAAGTAATTAGTTGGGCTTTAGGGTAAGGCCCATATGAATGATTGGGCCCAATTTAGAAAATCGGGCCATAGATGGGCCATAGTTTGGGCCTAGATGATTGTATGATATTGGGCCCTTAGAATGAGACATGTTGGGCTGGACTGAACAATTGGGCATTAAAGGAAGTCCATGTAGAGGTTTGGGCCCAATTTGGAAAGTTGGGCCATATGTTGGGCTTAAAGCCATAGTTGGACTTTTGGGTCTTTTGGATCGGGCCTTGGGCTTGAATTAAGCCAATCTTGGGGTAATGTGGTATTATCCAAAGTACACACTTATGATTATGTAGTGAAACCCAATTATTATTTGGGTGTTATTTTGATATTGACAGACCGGGAATTTGTCATCCAACAGCTATGGTTTGTCAGCAGGACTTCAGCAGTATGAGGTGAGTCCTCTTCTAGTAAGGACGGGGATGTTAGGGATCCAATTGGATACTTGTTGCTTGATACAGATAGAACTTATGGGGATGGTAGGTATTTCAAAATAACTTCCTCTTGGTCAGTTTATACACATACCAAATCCCACTTTATGAGTCAGTTTATTATTGATTGATGATTTGATGAATAGGTATTGTCGGGTGGGAAGGTCCTTCTTTTCTCCTAATATTGGGAAAGTGCAGCAACTAGGAGAAGGCCTGGAGTCATGGTGTGGATTCTACCATAGTATTTGTCCTACTCAAATGGGATTGTCACTAAATATTGGTATGACAAACACAGAACAAAAGTGTTTGAAATTGATTAAAAGGCTAGGATCATAACTGGAAAATGGAAAGTAACTGCTGGTTTTATTTTGATTGTATAATATAGATATGGCTTCAATGGCTTTTATTGAGGCTCCCCCGGTAATAGATTTCGTAGGCCAGCTTCTTGGCAAAGGTATGCTATCCAGACCGCTCTCTGATTCTGACCATGTTAAGGTATATTCCTTTCCTCTTTAATCAACAAATTATCACTCTTCTTGCATTTAATATACAAAATAAACCTATTGTAGATTAAAAGGGCTCTTAGGGGGTGTTTGGATAGGAAAAAAAGAGGTGCTTATTGCTTATTCCCACAATAAGCTAATTTAAGTGTTTGGATAAAATCCACCTTATTAGGCTAAATAAGCTAATTTTAATTAGCATTCCTCCCCATGCTTATTGCTTATTGCTTATTCCCACTACAAATAAGCTATAAACAATAAGCTAAAAATCTAATCCAAACACCCCCTTAGAGGAGTCAAAGTTGAAGTCACTCACAGAGGGAGTGTACGAAGAAAATATCGAGTTTTTGGATTAACGTCACAGCCCACAACCTTTCTGTTTGGGTCTGATTTGGAAGTACAGCTACTCCATCTCAAACTTAATCATTCTGTTTTGGCATAATGAATTCATATATAATTTTAGACAAAACTTCTCTGTGGAAAAAGAAACTAATTTGGGGCTTATTAGATTAGTTTTTTGTTCATAAGTGGCAAATTTGAAGATGCACATCAACTGCTTGATGAAATGCTTCAAAGAACAGGTATTAGACCTACTCCATCATCGACTACACAAGCTTCTTACACACACTTTGATATAAGTTTTTGGCCTAGATTTGGATTTCACTTCACAAATTATAAGTAATGTATCAACAAATACTTTTTTTTGGACTGAATGAACCGTCTGAACGAGATTAGATGGGTCATGTTAACCTTCTTTCAACAAGTGATACTAAATATAAAATGACTGAGAGTACATCTATGGAAGAAATTTACCTAACCTTTTTTTTAACAGATTCCCAGTTGATGAAATGCAAAGATGAAGTCTGTTGTTGAATACTTTCAAGAAATGTATTATACTTTACTTGGCTTGACTACAGTATAAATTTACCTTTGAATTTTTTATTTATTAGACAGGCATGTAAAATTGTTGAAGGGCGACGATATAAAAAAAGGTTGTTTTTTATTTATTTATTTATTTATTTTTTTTAATTTTAATTTTTATTTTATTTTATTATTCCTTAACTTTTCCAACTATTGAGTCAACAGAAGAAATATTTTTCATTATAAATAAATCGATTTATTTTTTTAATTATTTTTGCTTTGGCTGTGTTTATTTATGATACTTTTCGCTTAACTTTACACCACTTAATGGTTTCTCACATCAATGTAATGCATTCAACTTCATAATTCATTCCATTCTATATATAATATTTAATCAATGTAATGCATTCAACTTTTTTAAGATTAATATATTGTTAGTCAACATACTATGTTTCATTACATAACGGGATCATTTACTTTTACTAGACATATAATTTTTTAAATATTTTATTATTTCTTGATTGATGAAACAAGCTGGAAGGCTGATGTTGTTGATATTCTTGATACCACAAAGGAATGACTTCAAGTGTTTGAATCTTTTGCTACGATGTTTAAATGTCATGTTAACTTGATCAAATTGTTTCTTATTTTTTTTGTTGTTGCATGGTTTTAGGATGATGTGGGGAGACACCTTTCACAATCAGAAAAACAAATAAACTTATGGAATTGTAAAGATGATGAGCAAAATGATGAAAATGGTCATTTTGGTAATGACCTAGATGGTAAAAATGCTTTCTGTCTCCCTATTATGTCATTGTTTAAGTGGCCTTTTTCTATTTTACTAAACTAAATGTCATTATATTGATTTCTTTTTATTGCAGAAAATTAGTGCAGACTCAATCAAAATATATCGGCAACTACCAAAAGTATCACAGACTACGGATGACTATAAAGGCATTTTACTTTCTTTGAGTCCATTTAATTTTTCATTTTTTTTTGTATTAAAATTGCATTGTATACTTTTGCTATGTAATTCACATCCAACCCATGCAAAACATGGGCACCTACACTTGAATATAGTAAAAGGATGAACCGAGTTGTGCAACTCCGTTGCCAGGTGTAGTGTAACAAGTCCAACACGCACATAAGCACTCAATATTAATGATTAATTATCATAGATGTAGAAAACTGGCGATGACATCTACTACATGGGAGGTAAGTGTTGTTTAATGGAATTGGAATGTATCGTTATGCTTCAAAAAGAAGTTTCATAAATGGTATCACATCCAAAGTTTTTTTTGGTTAAAATCAAATGCAAAGTTTCTTTTGTAAACAGTATTATTGTCCTATGACGAAAAAATATTACTTCCCCATAACAATACCCAAACTATAAACAAATAGTTGATCAAATAACATTTACAACGGAAAAAATCGTCGCATCCGACCCCCGCATTGCGGGGGTTCCCTATAAGAACTATTAAATTAACCACACCTCTAAATGAGGTTGAGTGTGTATATTTATATTCAGTTGATACAAACTAATCTCCTGTAAACTAGGAGAGATGAGATACACGATAAGTACAACAATATGATAAATACATATTCTAAGATTTATCTAATATCCCCCCCTCAAGCGAATAGGTGGTGGTCCAAGATGCAACATGGTGCGAAAGTGTTCGTTCGAACTGAGGACGTGGTAAGCTCTTGGTGAATATACCCGCCACTTGAAGCTTGGTTGGAGTGAACTTCGAGTATAGTTTCCCAGAAGCCACAAGTTCTTGAATAAAGTGATAGTCAAGATCAATATGCTTTGCACGCTTATGTGAAACTGGGTTCTAGGACATAAATAGGGCACTTTTGTTATCACACAATAGCGTGGGCCGATCAGAGGGTAAGGCATGAAGCTCACGTAGTAAGTGAGTGATCCAGACAATCTCTGCAGTGGTATTTGCCATTGCTCGGTACTCGGACTCACAGCTAGAGCGTGAGATAGTAGGTTGCTTCTTTGCACTCCATGAAACCAAATTTCCTCCAAGAAATATCGAATAGCCATAAGTGGAACGACGGGTTTCAATAAATTTGGCCCAATCAGCATCGGAGTATCCAAGAATAGAATTTGAGACTGGGCGTTTAAATGTTAAACCAAATGCGATGGTGCCCTTGAGATAACGTAAAATTTGCTTGACTGATTGAAAATGTGCAGTTGTTGGGGCTTGCAAGAATTGACTAGCTTGATTTACCGCATAAGAGAGATTAGGTCTGGTTATAGTGAGATATTGAAGTGCACCTACTAGTGATCGATAGAGTGTAGGGTCCTTAAAAGAAGGTCCATCTGATGTAAATAACTCGTTAACTGCCAAAGGAGTGGAGAATGGCCTGGAGTTAAGCAGGTCAGCCCGGCTTAAAACGTCTTTTGCATACTTGGTTTGGCTGAGAAACAAGCCATCTTCAGTATGACTCACTTCCAGACCCAGGAAATAATTCAACTCGCCAAGGTCTTTGATCGCAAACTCATGATGTAGTCGAGTAGTAAAGGAAGTGAGCATAGTCTCATTGTTTCCTGTTAAAATCAAATCATCAACATACACCAATATGTAAATAATGTTTGAGTTGTTGGTGTACACAAAGAGAGATGTGTCGGCACGACTGCACAAGAACCCATATGAAACAAGAAACGTGCTAAGACGATGAAACCAAGCTCTAGGGGCTTGTTTCGGTCCATAAAGAGCTTTGGATAATTTGCACACATGATTTGGAAACAGAGAATCAACAAAACCCGGAGGCTGTTCCATGTATACCGTTTCGTGTAACTGCCCATGAAGAAAAGCATTTTTGACATCTAATTGGTGAAGACGCCACTGATGGAGAACAACAAGTGAAAGTACAATTCGAATGGTGGTTGACTTGACAACCGGACTGAAAGTGTGTGAATAATCCAAGCCCAGAATTTGGGTAAAACCTTGAGCGACAAGTCGTGCTTTGAATCGCTCAACAGAACCATCAGATTTAAATTTCGTTCTGTAGACCCATTTTGATCCAACTACATTTGACGCATGAGGACGTGGAACAAGGACCCATGTCCGATTTTGAATTAGAGCCTCCATCTCGTCGCGCATATCAGCCATCCAATGAGGATGCTTGGCTGCAGATTTATAGCCTTTTGGTGTAGCATCCGATAGAAGAGCCACATGTAATTGATGAGAAAGAAGTGACAAGAAATCAGGATTGTGCTTTTTCAATACAATACCAGATTTTAAACGGGTTTGCATTGGGTGAGTAGATGGAGGATTCACCGGTGGACGATGAACAGGGGAAGGTGGGGTCGGTGAGTCATCATTATCGGATAAGGAGGGGCCTTCGTGATTGTAGTTATCGTCAGGGTGAGAAGAAATAGGTTGAGCATCTGCAGAAGAGCCAGTAGCAGTAGTAGCGACAGTGGTGTGTGGACAAAGCCCACAAGGTGAATGAGGCCGGACAGTGGGCTGTGAGTCGCGGGATTGCACAGAATGTGTATGGGCCGGAGGAGCTATATGAGTTGGATCAGTAGCTGACTCAGCAACTAAGTTATCATCTAGAAAAGATGTGAGCTCAAGTGTAGAGAGCATTCTGAGCGGCTGTTGAGAAAAAAGGAAAAGTGGCCTCATCAAATCTAGCATGTCAGGTGATGTATACTCGTGATGTTGTCGGGTCCAAACATTTGTAGCCCTTATACTGATTATTATACCCAATAAAAATGCACGGTATACTACAAGGAGCCAACTTATGAGCGGAATAGTCACGTAAATATGGGTATACAAGACAGCCATATTCGTGTAGTTTGGAATCCTGGAGTAGAGTAGCTCATATGGTGAGTGATCTTGCAGAACTTTAGTGGGGATCCGGTTGATTATATATACAGCATAAGTGAAGGCATCCACCCAATAAGATGCATGCACATGAGCATGAAATAACATTGTTAATCCAGTTTCAACAATGTATCGGTGCTTAACGGCCGTTTTGTTGTGGTGTATAAGGGCATGAGATTTGATGAAAAGTACCGTTTTCTTCAAATATTTGATGGACCGTGTGATTTACAAATTCTGTTCCTCCAATTTTAATCTTTCGAGATAGTTGAGTTTGCACAAGAGTAATGAAAGATTTTAGAACTGCATAAAAAGCATTTTTGGTTTTTAACGGATAGAACCAAGTAAAGCGAGAGTAGTCATCCACAAACACAACATAATATGAGTAATCATCAGAAGAAACTGGAGTCGGCTCCCATAAATCACAATGAACCAAATCTAAAGGATGAGATGCACGTTTAGGATTCAACTCAAAAGGTAAGCGTTGACTTTTAGAAATTTGACAAGGTTTGCAAATAACAGGTTTATGAAGAACATCACGAAGTAATAATTTATTTGAAATATGAGAGATAGGTATATGACCATTGCCAAAAAGAACTTTCATATTACCGTGATGTGGGTCCGAATGAGAAGTGTTTTCGGTGGAGGGTGTCATGTGAGCTATGGCACCCGAATCTACATACCAGTCCGGAGTCCCTTGATTGACATGGCATTGAGATGTAAAGGATTGAGCTAAGAGTGCATCTGATGAAGATGCATTAGATGCATAGGTGGAAAGAGATGGACATGAGGAGGCATAATGGCCATTGGTTATACACAACTAACAGTGAGGTGGACAGCGACCACCACACCCTCTTCCCCCATTCTGATTTCCTCCACGATTTCCCCTTGAAAAGCCTTGTTGTCGTCCTCTGTTGGAACCAGATCTATTTTGTTGGGACAGAAAAGCAACATGGGGCGTGACAGAGCTGTGAAGAGACTTGAAAAACATCTCATGGCTTTCAGCTTGAGAGAGAAGATCTCGAAAAGAAGGAAAGGGCTTTGATGTGCGAATGCGAGTAGAAAATGTTGCAAACGGGGCTCCTAAACCACAGAGGAACTAGTGGAGCTTGTCCATCTCATCTACCGGCTGCCCAATGGCAGCAAGTTTGTCACAAACTGTTTTGAAATTGCGACCAAACTCTGAAACAGAAGAAGATTCCTTAGAGAGGGTGCGAAGGGAATCCCTTAGAGAATGAATCCTCTCTACAGACGAATTGTTGTAGGCAGATTCTAAGGCGACCCATATGTCGCGAGCTGTGGTGAGACCCAAAACCTCAGCCGCCGCTTCCTCAGTCAATGAGGAGTTGAGTAAAATGACGGCACGCTGATCACGATCATGCCATTTTTCAAACAACGGATTAGGAATGGACTTGTCTTCAACTGTAATTGTGGCGGAAGGGGCAATACTACCATCAATGTGAGCTGAGAGTTTCGGATAGGAGAAGAGAGGGAGCTTCTGGTTTTTCCAGAGCAGGTAATTGGCGGATCCTAACTTAATTGGGATCATGTGAAGAATGGTGTTCATTGGGAAAGTACCATCATCAGATGAAGACGTAACCATTTTCAGGTACCAGGAAAAAGATCCATGGTTTTTAGGGTTTAAGAAGAAGTCGGAGATTTGAGGCAGGGATAGAGAGAGGCTGATACCATATAAGAACTATTAAATTAACCACACCTCTAAATGAGGTTGAGTGTGTATATTTATATTCAGTTGATACAAACTAATCTCCTATAAACTAGGAGAGATGAGATACACGATAAGTACAACAATATGATAAATACATATTCTAAGATTTATCTAATATTCCCAAACTAATTATTATTATTATTATTATTATTATTATTATTATTATTATTAAAGAAATAAAAGTTAAGATAAGTGAAGTTCCCAACTTTTAGATATATGTTAAAATCCATATATTATCTGTTTATTTCTTCTTTTTAAGGGTCCTCTTAGGCAATTTTTAAAACTAGAACTGCACACCCGTAGGTTCTTCCAGTTCCAGATCTTCCTTACACCGCTCCTCATCCAAACCTTATGTTCTCTTTCCTCTTTCATCGGATAACGTTCATCACCACCGCCATCCAATCGACCGCCTCCACTTTGTCCACAACTTTACTCCTATTGCTATTCGTTTTCCCACATTGCTCTCTTCACCAATAACCACAACAACGCAAGCACGACCTCCTTCTTCCATATCTTCAGTGGAGGTGAGTAGGGCTATGGAGGAGGTAAGGGAGAGGGGGTAACGACAAATATCACACCTATTACCCCCTTCACACAATCAGAATGAAATCGACGTTGAGAAGACGACAAAGACAATGAATACGACAACTGTGTCATTGCTTAGTCTTGCCGCCATCATCACCCTTCATCGCAACAACCGCCACCAGACTCCTTCCCCTTCCGCTTCAGTTTAGTGTCGGATCCAAACAAAATGGTGGTTTTCAACGGCTTCAAATTGGCTAGCCATCCTTCTCTTCCAATCACTTTTCTCCTCCAAATAGATGTTTTCGAGGCTACGACACACGTGTCAATTATAAAGATTCAAGCTGCATCGTGCTCCAACAATGAAAACCCCGTCTAATTCAACGTCATCGTCAAATTCATTACCCGGTTTTCCTTCACTTCTCTCTTTCTAATTCAAATTCACTTTATTTTTTTTGTGGTTTACATCGATTTGAGTGACTTTCAGACGCATGTTGTTGTTATTTTATGGAAACGATTCGTATCATAGCATGCATGAAATGATCTTACAAATTTGTATTGGTTATTAATCGACAGTTCTGTGTTTGATTTTGTTGATTTTATTTTATGACATGATTGTGTTATGTATGGTGAAACACGATCCCGATAACGAATTTTTGTAGGTTATTTTTCTTGGGACACCTTGACGGAGAACAACCACCTGGTCTCCACTCTCCTTTTTTTTCCCTTCCCAATGGAGGTTTCTGACATTCTGCTATGGTATGTTGATATTAAACCCTTCGGATTCTGGTGTTGATGATGTATTTGGGGATAATAGTATTGAATTTGACTAAGTTTTAAAGTTTTCAAGATTGAATAATTATGATGATGTTATGATGATGATGGTGTTGTATTGTAGAAACTTATGACACTGAAACAGAAATCGTTAAAGCAATTAAAGCTTAGACTTTAATTTTATTGTGGCTATCTCATCCCTAATTTGTTTTCCGGTTTTGCTTTTGGAGTTGACTAGGACCAATCAATTGATTGCTGAATACCAAGCTATGTATCCTTGAGGAAATAGTGGCACATATACCTTCACAGATCAATCACAACCCACAAAAAAATGTTTCTTTAAATGATGAGGGTAATATAGTCTTTACGTCATCAAACACACAGACCTTGATAGAACAGGAAATGAGTCACTCTTCTGCTTCCTGAGCAGCTGCCCTTGACATACCATTGCAGTCCTGTTTCCTCATGAATATTGGAATGATAGATCTTTAATGGACAAAAATGAGGTTGAAGAAATGAAGATGCAAAGAGGAGATAGAATCACATGCTTATTCTAAAGGGTGAGCATAATTTCTTGAATTATTTAATTGAATATTTCTGTTAATTAATATTTTTATGTAATTACTAATTTCAGGTTGTTGAATAATCTAACACAAACCTTTGGTTCTTGTAGAGTACTGGAGTTGATCTTTGACAAGCGAGTATTTGTGTGCAATTCGATATCCACACACGGACAAGTAGTGGATCAAGTTCAACAAAATCTGAACTATAGTGGTTAAACTACAAAAATGGACAAAATATAGTGGTTTTCTTGAATTATTTAATTTAATTATAGGCTTTCCACTTGACCGTTTCTATTTCAGCGGGCCATTGAAAGCATAATTTCTCTTCATGAAAATGGTGTTACCATTATTATATCTTTCATGTAAGAAATCACAATTTAAAAGTAATCCTATTTGATTCCAAAAGTGAAAGATATCAACTTAAGGTTCAAATAAATGTTACTTAGAAATTTACATATATCAAGCTGTTAAACTTGCTCATGTTTTTAATATAAATCCAATTTCATTGGGTCATTCTATTCCAAAACCAAGGCTATGGTAAGTACTAATGACTATTTCTTCTTTTCCTTTTGTTTTTTAAATTGCTAAATGTAATATGGTAGTGTTTGGTATATTGGTATCAAGGAAGTAATGGAATGGTCGAAGGAATGGAATGGGGCATTTCGATTCCTTCTGTTTTGTTACTTTCATTCCTTAGTCGATGCTTTTCTTTTCAATTCCTTCATGGAATGGAATGAACAATTGAGATATAACCCGTTTTTATTTATTTCGTCTTTGATGACAACTCATTTTACAAAAAAAAAAAAAAAAAAAAAATCATTATTTTAATTAAGTCATAGTTTATTCTTAAAAGATAAATAAAAATATTATTTTCTCATAAAAATACATTTTCTTGTCATAAATTCTTTAGGTTTTAATAAACTTTCATTATCTTTAATTTTATTTTTTGAAAATAAAAGCTCTGCCACTGCTATAAGGTAGTTTCTTCTATGAAAGAAAAATATTACAGACAATTCCTTAGAAAAGTATTCAACTTATATTTTAAAATAACTAATAAATATAAATACGCGTTGCATAGTGATATAATACATACAAAAGAAAAAACATCATAGAATGCAATCACTGATTCCATTTCATTGTTGAATTCCATTCTTGGTTGAGGAGCTTTTGAAAGGATAAGACAACGTACGCACACTTCAAGATCTTTACCAGAAAGTGGGGAATGTTCGGTAAAGTAGCTTACTATTATGAGATTTTTTTTATATGTACGATGTGAATAGTAGTTGTGGTCGAGGTCGTGTTTGTTGATCTTTCACTAATGGACCTATGGTATTATTAGCCAAAATAAATTAAATTTCATCTTTGGAATTTGCATACATCTTGAATATCAACTAATTACACAAAACTCCGTTGAAAATTCTTTATAAGATTAGTTATAGTTTTATCGCATGAAGTGGTAAACGTAGTTGGCTCTTCAAATGCTAATATCAAATCAGGAATTACCGAATCAACCCTCATGCTGTGAATTAACCATGATGATGTGAAGAGCTACATTTTATCATCTTAACTTATAAAACTCTATTATTTGGATAACTTTATACAATATAATTACTTATTTTTTGGGACACTTCATTTGGTGCCCTAAGGCGAAGATGCTCGACTATGATGACATTCAAAGGCACACAAACTAGTAGAGATAGGGAATAACCTAACATGGAGAAGACAAATATATTGCATTATCCTAACCAAATTTAGCAGTGTACTTTTCATTCTTTTAGAACAAGTAAACATGAATGATTGTATTCTCTATTTCATGTCGCAGTCTTTTAATATAACTTCAAATTATGAGACCGACCATCTGATCCGTGCAACGCACGGGTCTCTACACTAGTTATCATTATTATTATTATTATTATTATTATTATTATTGTTATCGTCATCGTCATCGTTGTTATTATTATTATTATTATTATTATTATTATTATCATCATTATTATTTCTACTACTATTACTATTATTATTATTATTATTATTATTATTATTATTATTATTATTATTATGACACAATATCAATAGAGTTTGACGGGGAAATGGTTAATTTTAAAATGAATGATGATTACTTTCCATATGATACTTTTTCTGTTAATTTTTTGGGTACCAATAGTCCTTTGTGTGAGGACTGTTGTGAGTTTTCTAATGTTTATGTGTAAGACTAATTTGTAGACAGAAAATTTTCTGACACATCAAAAGAGCTGGAAAAAGGAAAGCTTGGGGAAGAAGGGGAGAAAGTGGTTGTTAAAAAGAAGTTGACAGAAGCATATAAGATTGGGGAAAAGGAGAAGCAGATTTCTGCTGAGGAAAAATCATAGAACAATCTAAAAAGAAAAAAAAAAACTTGTGGAAAAAGAAAAGGAGATGGTGAATGCTAAGAAGAAACTGAAAAGGAAAAAATCTGAGGAGGATGAGATTGCTGGAAAGAGAAGGATCAAAAAAAAGGAAAAAAGTTTTAGAAATCTCAAGAAGGACTCAACTCATAAAAATCTGAAGTCTTTCTAGTTTGTTGTGCAAGTTCCAGATCCACCTATTTTGCCATATCTGAAGGGATCTGGACAAAAGTTGAGCTAAAAAGAAGTCCCAACCACACCAGTTGATAAATCTGGTTGGGCAAAGTCAAGCCAACAACTTTAAAAATGGGCAGCTTTCTGAGAGGCAACCCGATGAGTATTTTATTTTTTATGCTTTCAATAAGAGACAGTCGCAATTCCAAGCAAGCTTGGGGAAATCGAAGGATCATCAAAATTGTTGAAATTCAGATTTTTCGCCAACATCCTCATTAAAAATCGGAAATTTCTACAAACTTATCAGGTATATTCTTTCTAGTTGTACCCTTTTCGTTTTTATATGTTTTATTGAGTTGTTCATTCCTTTCTGAGCATTGATGACGATGTTTCATTTTAAGCTTGGGGACGGAGTTAGTGTGAAAATTTTGCATTTTTAGTTATATTTTAAAATTTAAAATTTCCAGTTAGATTTTTCAATTTTATTTTCTGCATTGCGTTTGTATGTGTGTGTGTGTGTATATATATATATATATATATATATATATATATATATATATATATATATATATATATATATATATTTGAAAAATCCAAAAATATTTTATGTTTATGTTTTTATTTTTCTGCATTTCATGAAAAAAAAAATTAAAGATTTTAACAAAAATGACATGAGATGAGGATACTCTTTACATTCGATAGCTCTAGAAAACGGTGAAAAATGATTGTCCGAACCAACATGAACAATAGTGGAAGTGTAGAATCAACTACCATAAGTTCATAACCAGGGGACGTGACACCGTGAGCTGAGATGCCAATTGTATAATAATAAACCATAATATAAATAAAATATTACGTAAGCGAACGTGAAACAGTTTATTGAACTAATCTCTTGAAAATTTGAAGTGAATCCTCTGTTTAAGAACTCTTGACCCCCAGTAAACGGCTTTGTTTGATTTTCTCGCCCTCTTGGTTTGAAGGAGGGACTCTTATTGCAAATGTAAATCGACATATTCATCTTTACTTATGTTTTAGAGGTGACCATAATGTACATGACTATGATATCCATTGAACAACAGTAATACACATGCTATTCTTTGATATAGTTCCATTTTTCTATTTCAATTTTCTTCTTCATGGTTTATCACCAATTCATCTACCCATTGATTGACCGTTGACCGATAAATTCTCTCCTCTTTATATCTATCTATCTCTAAACATATGACCAAGGGATAATCATTTTTTTTATAATTTAAAGTTAAATTGTTATTTTCTCTTACAGTTTCTTTGCTAATGGGTATAGAGTTAAGTTTTGTTATAGGAATGCAGAACTGATAGAAAAGTTGAAGAAGACACATGCCTATTTCCTTGAATAATGCAAGCAATAATAGATGTTTGTTCACACAAGAAGGTATCTATGATACGATGCTTGAAACTGTTTTTCCTTTTTCTTTTTTTTTTTTTAATTATGAGTTTGCTCTTAATATATATATATATATATATATATATATATATATATATATATATATATATATTGCTTGAGAACACTTAAACACTACAACCGGAAATTTGCACCATGGAATACCACCAGAAACTCTCTTCATTACCGTCCACAAATGTAACACAAAACACATAAATGGAAATCATAAATAGACAGAGCACTCATGCATGACCTACTCTTCCCCCTTTAAATTCACCGACTCCGATGATGAATCAGGTCGTCTTCTTCTACCAAGAACTAGTAGCTGCAAGAGTACCATAACAATAATCCCATCAAATAACATCTGTTCCACCTCTTTCATTCTTGATCCACCCTCTACCACCGATGATAAACCCTTGTCGGAAAAGGTGGTCTTCGGTAGGCTATGGTCGTTGTTTATCAAGATTCGGTATCTCCATATTTCTCTGGTCGATTCTCAACATTGTATCAATCCACGTAATTATTCGGTATCTGCAAGATCTGGTACCGACCCAACTTTCATTAATGTTGTCGCCAGCTCGGAAAATCACCATCGTATTATTTGGTTTCAAACCTTCACCTTCAGCGTCTCAAATCTCGCCGCCACCACTGCCTAGGGTTTCAATATCTGTTACTTCCGTTCATTGGATCTGATATGATGGGAAAAACAAACATCGTCATCACTGGTAGTCATATAGATCTGAAAGCGGGTTCCAGATCTACGTGTGTAGATGTTTGGTTTCTCTATACCTCGACAGATCTGGTAGGTGGTGTGTTGCCTAGGGTCGATCTCCTCTATACGAAAACTTAGATCTGAAGTGGTGCTCTTCTACGTGAGAGAGGGAAAGAACGTTAAGGATGCAATGGCCGAAAAAGTCAGCCGGAGTTGGTATCAGCTGGAGTGGGTGGTGATGGTGGATAAGAAAAATTATTTTAAGCTACTAGTATCCAGGTTTTTATAAATTATGTTTCTTGTTTTTTTATTTTATTTATTTATTTATTTTTTTTAAATCTATGTTTCTAATTTAATGACCTCTTTAATGAATACTTCAATTCAGGAATAAAGAAATTACCAACAAAATCACTATTGATCTTCATGGACAATATAGACATGAGGCAATGTGGTTTTTGAAGCTTCACTTGTGGCTATTTAACAATTTGCGTAGTATAATCATTAACATTAGTTTATTTAATATCTTTTCTATGTCTTTTTCTTTAATTTTTTATTCTTTACAACAACTATAAAGGAAATTGTTGTGATAACAGGACATGCTGATGATCGAGAAACGGAACCGGTTTTGAAGCCAATGGTACAAGTATTTTTTATTCATTTTTAATTTTCAATACTTAAAGAATAAAAGATTTGCTTTTGTTTTGTAGGTCATTGGTTTATTAAAAAGATATGGAATGGAGCCTAAAGAATTAGACATTTCCGACTGTAGAGATGTCTAAACTAGAAGAATCATGTCATGGTTGATGACAATGTCATCTATATTACTGCATTACTATTGATAGATGCATTGTATGGAAATTCCATCTCATTGGATCTGGAATGGTCAACAAAAAAATTCGATTGTCTTTAGTTTCTTCACTTGTTTTCTTTAGCACCTGATGATGTGGACAGAAATTAAAAAAATCACAAACGATAATAATGATCCAACATATATTTGACCAATATATATCCCTATAGTCATATTTTTACATGGAAATATCTGACTTTTTCTCTGAAAAGCGAGAAAAAGCCTACAGTAGCTGAACCAAAAATTATGGTAGTTTAAAATTTATGTGATTGAATAGCGTTATTAACATATTGAATTTACAATAAATTTTTCAATATTTTTATTGTAGAAATTTTGACGTATTTATGCGTCCAGTTATTGAAAAATTTATTGTAAATTCAATATGTTAATAACGCTATTCAATCATATAAACTTTAAACTACCATAAATTTTCGTTGAGCTACTGCATGCTTTTTCTCGCTTTTCAGAGAAAAATTCAGATATTTCCATGTAAAAATATAACTATAGGGATATATTGGTCAAATATATGTTGGATCATTATCATCGTTTGTGATTTTTTTAATTTCTGTCCACATCATCAGATGCTAAAGAAAATAAGTGAAGAAAGTAAACACAATCGAATTTTTTTGTTAACCATTCCAGGTCCAATGAGATGGTATTTCCATACAATGCATCTATCAATAGTAATGCAGTAATGCAGATGATATTGTCATCAACCCTGGCAGACTTCTTCTAATTTAGACATCTCTACAGTCAGAAATGTCTAATTCTTTAGGCTCCATTCCATATCTTTTTAATAAACCAATGACCTACAAAACAAAAGCAAATCTTTTATTCTTTAAGTATTGAAAATTAAAATTAAATAAAAAATACTTGTACTATTGGCTTCAAAACCGGTTCTGTTTCTCGATCATCAGCATGTCCTGTTATCACAACAATTTCCTTTACAGCTGTTGTAAAGAATAGAAAATTAAAGAAAAGACATGAAAAGATATTAAATAAACTAATGTTAATAATCATACTACGCAAATTGTTAAATAGCCACAAGTGAAGCTTCAAAAACCACATTGCCTCATGTCTATATTGTCCATGAAGATCAATAGTGATTTTGTTGGTAATTTCTTTATTCGTGAATTGAAGAATTCATTAAAGAGGTCATTAAATTAGAAACATAGATTTAAAAAAATAAATAAATAAATAAAATAAAAAAACAAGTAACATAATTTATAAAAAACCTGGATACTAGTAGCTTGAAGTAATTTTTCTTATCTTCAACCTTGATCTCCTTTCTTAAGTTCTCTGCTTCATCCATCTTTTGATTTCCAAGAATTATACTTCCTTCCTTGTAAAATTTAGAGGCCCTCATTAAGAGAAGATAGAAAAAAGGTGTACATAAAAACGAGACAGAAAAAACTGAATATCTCTAAGAATAAAATTATTACCTGTTTGGTCCCATAAATTGGCACGACGTTCACTTTGTTTTGCATCTTGAATAAGATCTCTAATTTCTATATTTCTTCTGATATCTACAATAAAAATAATAGTTTTATTGATTCTTTCTATTAGGGATGAGAATTTGACCCGAAAACCTGAACCGAACCGAACCGAATTAGGCCCGAATAAGTAATTCGATTTGGTTTTTGGGTATCTATATTATGCTTATTTGGTCCGCGTTATCCAAATAAGACCTTATTCGGTTCTAAATACCCGTCCCAAATAAAAGCATATTGGATTTTACATTCTTATATCTCAAAGAATAGTTAATTCGTCATTTACATTTTTACTACACAAATTCTAACATTTTTTTACACCTTTGAAACAATTATGTATACTTTGCATTATTTTTAATTAACAAATTTATTTATTTAAAGGATTTGTTAAGAAATCATAAGCTACAAAAGTCATAAAAAATACATTGTTTATGATCATATTGTAAATGTTGTTTGGGTTATAGAATCCTAATACGGTTTATTCAGGGTTTTTTCGGTTATATTAGATGCTTAATCATCTTGTACATGTTATTCGGGTAATTCGGGTAATAACTAAACTGAATCGATTAATACCTAAACCAACCGAACCCGTATTGGTTAATTGGTTCGGTTCTCAGTCCATGCAATTACCCTTATTTGGTTTTCGTGTTGTTCACGTCGGTTCTATCCGGTTCCGGTCCAAATAACATCCCTACTTTCTATGTTACAATAAACAACAAAAATAATGTCAAGGATACTAACCTTGTGGGTTGACACCCACTTAAAGTTGGCCACATCGCAGTAATGCCTCTAAAGCCGATCGCCAACTATTTGTTTGATCACCAACCCAGTCCATCTCATTATCAAAGTTGTAGTCTTTTTTATTCAAGAAAAATGCGATTTCAAAAACGCCCGGGTTTTCTTTGAGTCGGACGTATTTTCTAAGTAAGTAACCACTGATCTGCAAAAAACATAGATAGTTAATTATAAAAATATATATAATCATAATGTAAAATAAACAAATTTGTACCGCTTGATGGTTCGCATTCCCCAAAATTATAGTTATTTTATGCAAGGTTGTTTAGAAAAATAAAAACTTACATATTAGTAAAGATAAAAGAAAGTATCTAATAATAAACTAATGTTATAACTTCCCAGGTTAAATGCAATCCATAGATGAATATCTATAAGACAAATTGCATTCTCTTCTGACTGGTCTCTCAAATTGATTTTTATTGTGTTATGACGTCTCTTCTAACTGGTCTCTCAAATTGATTTTTATTGTGTTATGACGATCTCGATTCCTGAAATATAAACATCGTAGTTGTTAATAACTTTATTTTTTTATATAACTAATTGGGAGACCCATGCATTACATGGGTTAATTTAAAAGAAAAAAAAATAAATATAAAAAGTCACTATTTGAGAACTTTGAATTTATAAGACAGTAAGAAAAATAATGAATTATTATAACTAAAATGTTTTTTATCTTTTAAATTTAAACAAATAATTTAAATAAATAAATATAAAAAACTACAGAGCTTTAATTTGAGAATTTTAAAATTTAAAGGTAAGTTTATTAATAAAACTGATATCAATTTATTACTATAATTATTGCAATTATTACATTAAAATATTATGTGAAATTTAATAAAATAGAAAAACTCATAAAATGACATGTGGAAAAAAAAATTAATTTAAAATAACCACAAAATGACATTTGACAAATTGAATAAGAATGTGACATGTGACAAAAAAAAAAAAAAAAAAAAAAAAACTTCTTTTTTTAGAGTAGATTAAAAATAAACTTAAAGCTAACCTTAATTCAATCAATTTAAAACCCTCCAATTTTTTGTTCCTTGCAAGATCCCTTTCTAGAGCCGGTCTCAATATCTCTTCCTACAAACATAAGTCATTTAAAGGAAGAAGTTTATGGGATGTGGGGCCTAAAGATAAAATGAGTTGGAGTTGGAAAAACTTGTTGAAGATTAGACCTTACCTTCAGGACTCTTTTTATTCTCATATTGGAAATGGTGAAGATACTTCCATGTGGTTTGATAATTTGCATCAACTAGGTCCTTTGAGTTATTTCCTATCTCATAGAGAAATAGCTAATGCTGGGTTTAATATACAGGATAAAGTCAGTGATGTGATAGTTAATGAAGATTGGAGTTGGCCATTTGATTGGCAGAGAATGATTTCACAGCTTGGAGAGTACCTTGTTCCTAGGCTCATTAGAAAGAAAAAGGATGTTGTGTTGTGGATGAACTAGAAGCGAGATATTGTTCCTTTTACTGTTAGTCATGTCTTTTCTTCTCTAATTAGTCTAGAGCCCAAAGTTTATTGGTATGACTTGGTTTGGTTTAAAAACAAAATTCTCGGTCACTGTTTCATTCTTTGGCTAGCTATTCTTTGTTTCATTCTTTGGCTAGCTATTCTTGGAAGACATAGAACACAAGATAGAATGAAAAAATGGAAAGTTTCTGATGACTTCTCTAGTGCTTTTTGTAACAATCAAGTGGATTCTCATACTCATTTGTTTTTTTAATGTAATTTCCCAATTGGAAGTTTGGAAGATGATAAAAGGCAATGTGAATTTCAAACAAAAACCGGGAAATTGGTTTGAGATGATAAACAAAAAAAAATGACTCGACTCGTTTGACAACTATGCCCCTGCCCAAATTATTAATACTATTGACGACCGTGAGTCTAACCGCCGTCCTCAAAATCTAAGCCGTCTAAACTCCCACGTTCTTTCGATCTCGGCCGCATAAACTCGATTTTGGCGGTTGTTTACGGTTCCAGCAATCGGTTTTGACGACCCTCCTCCTCCCCACCTCCCACGTTCCGGTGCTCTGTAATTCTTCCCACGATCTCCCCTTATTTCTCTCTTGGCTTCACGATTGAGTATGGAGGTTTCTTTGATTGAAGTATAAGAAAGACACCACTTCATCTCCAATGTTCCTGATGCTCCTCTATTTCATCTCCTTCTCTCGCTTCAGATCTTCATGTACAACCCATCGTCCCCAATTCATGAACCCTAGCCTAAGTTTTTCATCTCGCACAACCACTCAGGTACGTTTCTCCTACTAGCTCCACATTGTGATTGTGTTAATTTTTCCCCCTTATTTAATCTCGAACCGAATCATTTGTCATTGAATAATCCATGGCTACTTGATGTGGAAAAACATGGATTCATTTGATTTTCGGTTTGAGTTTTAATTGGAGGCGTTTGGAAGTATAAATAAGAAGAAGAGGCAAATTCGTCAACTTCCATGGGAAGCAGATATTATTTGTTCATTATGATATTTTATTTCTTATGTTAATAGATGGAAATTGAAAACTAACAATTATTTAGCTATTATTTTATTTTGCTCTAGATGAAGTCTTTAGATATGGTGCAATCCCCATTGTTAGAAAGACAGGGGGTACAAAATGAAAGGTGAACTTTTACTCTATCTTTTTATTATATAAAATTCCTCTTCAAATTGATATTAAATAATATGGAAATTAGATCTTAGAATCTGATTTATCAATTATTGTGTTTTCAATGTTAATGATGACTCCATTGATCCATTCCTATACACCTCAAACATGGAATTATCTTTGCGACACGGATAAACAGGCAAATCTCTCTGTTAAGTCAAGTCAGGGCTTATATTTAAGAAAATGAGAACATAATTAGGGAAAAAGAAGGAAAAATAATTGAGGAAAGTTTTTTGTAAAAAGTCAAGGAATTTGGTTTGAAAGAATCAACCTTCATTGGTGGTGGGATGTAAAGGGACAGAGGCATAGGGAGTGATCAAGTTCCTTTAGCGAACTACTTGCACTTAACAAAATTATTGCACTTCTTGGCCTTTTACAATTTTAGGACATGAACAAGTAGTGCCCATATCTGCATCATTTAATTATTTTATGAAGTTAAAATATTGATATTTATTGTTTTGTGAACAACCATATATTTTCAAGGGTGGAGAGAATGGAACATTAAATTGGCACTTAATAAGTACTAATGATAATCTGAGACAATCATATACATTTCCAAGGAGTGTAGGAGAAAAACAAAGGATGGAGTGTATGTATACACAATTTTTTTGCTTTAGAATTCTTATTTGACTATCATAATTGTGTGATTTTGTTAATATTTGTGTAAGTGTAATAGGAACTTATTGTACGGTAAAGAAGTAAATTTTTTTTGAAACATAAACTCATCTTTAAGGCAAAAAACAGAAGCAATAAGATTGCACTTCTTTAAGTTCTTAGTTCTACCCACTTTTAGCATTTACTTTATTATTTACACTCAAAATATAAAATGCATATATAAATAAATTTCCTTTATCTATTATTAAAGTTAATATTGGCAATTAATCATATTCCAGAATTGTGTAGATATCTACTTTTGTTGATGAAATATACCTTTTTGTTTGATTCCCTTTTTAGTGAGCTATGTTTATTTGTTCTATGATCATAGTATAAGTTTGTCCCTTTATGCACATGGGATTGAACCTCAGCCACGTATTTCACATTTGCCACTCTAACCCTTCGGCGTACCGGCGCGGCAGGTCTGGTGTAATCATAAATGATTATACAATGCCACCTGTTCTTTTCTCCTCCGCCACCATCCCCACCACCGTAACTGCCACCGCCACCACCACTACCACCACCTCTGACACCAGTCATCAAAAGTCAACATACCATTTTTTTTCTTTTTTTTCTTCTATATAATACTATTTTAAAGTTTTTTGCTCCCTGGGTCATCAAAAGTCAACATACCAGTCTTTAAATTTGTGAAAAGAATAGTACGATTTTCTTTTGGTGTAAAAAGAAAATTATTTGCACTTTTGGTCCTTGTGGTACTATCTATTATTGAACCATGTGGTCATGTGTTGTCAATTTTACAAAATTTAATTATTGTTAAATATTTTAAAATGATCAAGATTGGAAAAACATAAACAGAGGGCAACGTACTTTCTTTGATGTTTTTGGGTTAATTGCAAAAAAGTAAACTTGATTACATGAAATAGCAATGTACTTTCTATTTTTGCAATTAATCCTAAATGAATCCTGTTGATTGAAGCAATTAATCCAGTAGAAGGTCTGAGGCAGTATTACCTAACTTGATTGATTTTATATTGCAAGTTTTGAAGGAATTGACACCAACTGTTTTTGAATCCTTTTAACTTCATAACTTAACTTATTATAATCGGACGAGATTCAACCATTGTACATAACTTAAAACATTTCCGAATTCTTTGTTTGATATGAGTGATGAGTATGGTTGGTTTTCCTTTTAAATGAGCTCTCATCGAGGACAATGAATGCTTAATGTGTTGGTTTTCCTTTTACATTAATAATCCTATATTACAAGTTTATTAGTCTTTTTTAGTAAATTGTTATTTACCTTTCCATTTTATTACTCTTTGGCTGTAGAATTTATACTATATTGGCCCTTAATCGGAGACCCCTCTTCACATGTATGTTTTATATAGTCTCATTTTCTATTTATATTTAATGTGATGGATGATTAGCGGCTCGTTTTTTTCTTTATTTTTAATGCATTGTAATAGTAACCAAGTTATTTTTGAATTTTTTTTTTTAATCTTTCCATAGAGAATGTCACAGGCGAATCTAAATCTTTGGTCATCCTCCCATGATAAAAGCCGATTTTAGATTGGCTTCATCTTTTGTTGTTAGACTATGAAAATGTATCAATTTCTCCAAATCAACAACACAACAACCCCGTATATGAGATTACTTCTTTCCTCTTAAGAAAACAGAATCGTGCAATCAATTTTAGAGTTGGTACTTTTTTTTATTTCGGTTATTTGTATGGTTAAAAAATCTACATACTTACACACTTGCATTGATATCTTTGGTTAATTGCAAAAACAGAAAATGCATTGCAAAAAATAGCAATGTACTTTATGTTTTGAGGTCTATCATATCTAGGCCAGGCCTGAGTTTGTAGTTTAAAAAAATGTTTCTGAATTGGTTTTTTAATAGGAATGTACTTGAATAAAAATAAAAATAATAAAAAAAGCTTTTAGATCTTATTTTTGATTGTGTATCATTTCCAGGTTAGGTCTAAGTTTATCAAGTTTTTTTATATATAAAAAAATGTTTCCAAAATGGAAATTTTGATAGAAATGTCAAAGTTTAAGTTAGGGACAAGAGCATGATCGGAAAGTTAAAGATGGTTCAAGAATTAAGACGTTTTGAGTAAGGGGCATATATGGAAAAGTCAAAGGTTTTTTTGTTTATTTTATTTTTTCTTTTTCTTATTGTCTTTAACTATTGTAAATTGAAAGTACATTGGTTTAATAATATTGTATACTTCGGTGGGAATATTTGGATGTCAACTTGCTTTTAAGTTTGTTGATAAAAAAATGAACCTTAGCAATGTTCTTTTTTTTTTTTATACCATACCTTACTTATTTAGTTTTTTACCTTGGATAAATGCTTTGATATAGGCAAAAAAAAAAAAGATATTTAAAAAGGTGCTTCCTATAAAGAAAAACATTAGCATGCATATGGATCAAAATTCAATAAAAATAACTTGAGAACTAGGGTTTTTTCGAAAAAAAAAAAGGTAAAACTCACCTAGGATAGTGAATACTTCAAGTGTGGTACCACGTGAATGCTCCAACGTGAGGGGTTTCGAGATGATCCACCTAATTTACAAGTGATGAACCAAAGATGTACATTGATTGAATGTCAACGACAGATAGATGAAAAAATCTCAACAACTAGCATAGAGATTACAGAGGTGTTCTTACAATAATCAAGTTGTAGATCTGCGTGAGTGTTGCGGTTCCATACTGTGGTGTGACGTCGCCGGTTGTGGCGTGTGTACGGAGGCTGGCGGTGGTTCACTAATGGGACAAGAGGGCGGCGGTATAGCAATCCTAGTGTAGCTGTGGCAATGACGGTTGAAAAATTAGGGTTTTTGATAGGAGGAGAATATTTTCAATCGAAAGATGGAGGGGATTCAAAATAATTGATTTTATTTTTAGGGCTTGAGGACGACGTCGTAGTACATACCTGTCAGCATTTCCACTATTTTTGTGT